GAGTCGCGAAGAGCATCTCCTGCTTACCATGTTCCAGTCCGTCCTCACCTACCAGTTCGATAACACACCGGAGTACTCGTCCTTGTTGCGCCAAAATACCCCAGTTTCTCGCATGATGACCACATACACACGCCGTGGTCCCGGCCAGAGTTATTTAAAGCAGGTGCTGGCAGACCAGATCAACGCGCTGATTGAGCTGCGGGAAGTGGATCTGGAGATCAACCCCTTGAAGGTTTATGAAAGCATGATTAAGCAGATCGAAGAAGAAACCGGCTCTCTGCCAGATTATTTGGCCCGATCTGTGACCGCCGAAGATGCTGCCGATAATGCGCAGGTGCAGGCCATCATTGCGCCACGTTTGAAGATGTTGACGGATATCGCGAACGGATTCATCACAACCATCATTGAATCGGTAGACGAGGCTCCGTATGGTATTAGATGGATCTGTAAGCAGATTCGCAGTCTCTCGCGCAGAAAGTATCCCGATGCCCAGGACCAAACCATCTGTACTCTTATCGGTGGTTTCTTCTTCCTGCGCTTCATCAACCCGGCAATCGTTACTCCTCGCTCCTACATGCTGATCGATGCCACGCCGACGGACAAGCCTCGCCGTACCCTGACGTTGATCGCCAAGATGATTCAGAACCTGGCGAACAAGCCTTCCTACGCCAAGGAACCCTACATGGCCAGCCTGCAGCCCTTCATCCAGCAGAACAAAGAACGTGTCAACAAGTTCCTGCTCGATCTGTGTGAAGTCCAGGATTTCTATGAGAGTCTTGAAATGGACAACTATGTGGCCTTGTCGAAACGGGACCTTGAGCTCCAGATCACTCTCAATGAAATGTACGTCATGCACGGTCTTCTAGAGAAACACAGTGGAGCGCTTGCCCAAGACCAATACTCGCACCTGTCTGTGCTGCTCCAAGAATTGGGCGGTGCTCCCCCTCAGGTTCCCCGCAAGGAGAACCGAACCATCACCGTGCCTTTGTTCAGTAAATGGGAGACTGCTCTCGATGATTTGACAGCCGCTCTCGATATTACCCAGGAAGAAGTCTTCTTCATGGAGGCCAAGTCAACCTTTGTCCAGATCCTGCGATCCCTACCTCAGAACACCTCAGTTGCGCGTCGACCTTTACGCCTCGACCGCATTGCCGAGGCTGCAGCAACCTTGAAGAACGATGCCGTGATGGTGCGCAAGGGTATTCGAACCATGGAACTGCTCAGCCAGCTGCAAGATATGGGCGTGATCGACCGCTCCGACGAGTTCAGTTTGCTTCGTGACGAAGTGGAGCAGGAGCTGGTGCACCTGGGCTCCCTCAAGGAGAAGGTTCTGGAAGAGACCCGCAAGCTCGAAGAAGTTTTCGCGACTATTCGCGACCACAATGCTTACTTGGTCGGCCAGCTGGAGACATATAAATCTTACCTGCACAACGTGCGTAGCCAGTCTGAAGGCAAAACTCGCGGCGGCAAGACGCCAAAGAACCAGGAACTTGGCCCGTACAAGTTCACCCATCAGCAGCTGGAGAAGGAGGGTGTCATCCGACGCAGCAATGTGCCCGAAAACCGACGGGCGAACATCTACTTTATGTTCAAGAGTCCCTTGCCAGGCACCTTTGTTATCAGTCTGCACTATAAGGGTGAGTTCACGAATTTGACCCTCGGGGGAAAGGGACATCATTACTAACGCATTACTTAGGACGAGCCCGTGGATTACTGGAGCTTGATCTCAAGCTGGATGATCTCCTGGAGATGCAAAAAGACAACCTTGAGGATCTCGATCTGGAGTATGTCCAGTTCAACGTCACCAAGGTGCTTACACTCCTAAACAAACGATTTGCACGAAAGAAGGGGTGGTAAGGGCGCTATACGCCCCAGGCTCCCCAAAGTCTGCCACCCTTTGATGAATGATGAGCTCGAGCAGAGGTCGACCAGCTCCCCCCATTTGCTCTGCCCGGCCAGGTCTTTTTTTTTTTTTTTTTTTTTCTACCCGACGATCGACCGTACCCCAGGCGCTTAATCTTGCGATGATGATGGACGCTAATATATGTCATGCAATTCCATTGCTTCCCATCGCCCCCAAATAATGGATTGGATGACTGCTCTACACGACTGCAATCTGTCCATGCAGTTCGGGCGAATGCCCTGTGTGAATGTTGCTGAAACACGAACATACTCTTAATGGAGAATGATCAAAGTCCTCTCTCCGCTGGTACGGGGGATGTCAATGATCCTGTGATTTTTGGTATATCCTTTTGTGTCCCTTTCCCCGGCTTTCCTATTATGCTTGCCTTATTCCCATGTCTCTCCTCATCCTTTCAATGTCTATACCCAGCGCATAGTTGTTGCCATTTGTTTATTCCCCAGTTCCATTGGGGGTCCGAGTCCTATAATCCCCCGGCATGTTCTGTGTTTTTCTTTTTCCATCACCGCCCAGACCTCGGTCTTGCGTTGTGTATAATAATGCCTCTTTGCGATGTTGAATGTTAAACTTCGAATTGAATACCCGTGTGAATTTATTTCTGTACAGTCTAGATTAGATGGTTGCCTTCGGTCAAATATGCCATTGGAATGTGCCCACATGCAGAGTGGATTGGTCACTGACACCTCGACACCGCCACGTTTGCCCCCCCTTTTTCTCAAGCGAAATCTTCTGTTGAGACAGGATATCTAACGAAGTAGGGAACACAGAAAGGAAGTACTATACATGTGTACATCCCAAATGTATACATGCTATACCCCGTATACCATATTGATCCTTTGGAACCCAAATGTAAACCCAAAGAACCCATCAGACTAGTCAACTTGCCATATGACGATAGTTTTACCCCTGTAAATCTCCAAAAACCATTTGAGTAATTCCATTGTTATTGTTATTGTTCAATAGTCCCAAAATACTGTGGAATCCCCCAAGGCTTTTTGTTGTCCTTAAAGTGGCCACTTACGCCAATCCCCACCCCCTCCGCCTCCCGCCCTTTTTCCAGAGAAACAATCACTCTCTTCTTCTCCCTCAATCATATACCTCCCATCAATCAAAATGGCGGCCACAGAATCCCCACTGCCTATCGATCCCAAGTACGACCAGTACGACTTCCCCACCACCGCTCCCGAAGCGCAGCCTGGTCACCCCGGCCATACCTCCCCCGAACAGGATGCAAAGGTGCACCAGCTCCGCGCTGAGCTCGAAAAGCTCGGCTACACTGAGCGTTTGGATACGCTGACCCTCCTGCGGTTCCTGCGTGCCCGCAAGTTTGATATCGAGGCCGCCAAGACTATGTACGTTCCTCGATTCTCGCCGGGCATGGATGTTGGTTTTTTTTTTGGAAAGTTGCCGGAAAAGCTTTCTATTCTGGGCCTTTGACTTTCAGCTTGTATCGAGACCCAATGGTCTAATTTGATATCCCAGGTTCATTGCCAGCGAGAAGTGGCGCAAGGAGTTCGGCACCGATGATCTGGCTCGCGACTTCGACTACCCCGAGAAGGAGAAGGTCTCCCAGTTCTACCCTCAGTACTACCACAAGACGGACAAGGTTGGTTCTCCGTGGCTTCCACACCTCTTCGGATACAATACTGACATAGTCCCACACCAAATAGGATGGCCGCCCCGTCTACATCGAGAAGCTGGGCAAGATCGACCTGAACCAGATGTACAAGATCACCACCGCCGACCGCATGCTGCAGAACCTGGTGTCCGAGTATGAGAAGCTGAGCGACCCCCGTCTGCCCGCTTGCTCCCGCAAGGCCGGCAAGCTGCTCGAAACCTGCTGCAGCGTCATGGACCTGAAGGGTGTTGGCATCACCAGTGTGCCTTCCGTATACGGATACGTCAAACAGGCCTCCGACATCTCCCAGAACTACTACCCCGAGCGTCTGGGCAAGCTTTACTTGATCAATGCGCCATGGGGCTTCAGCAGCGTTTTCAGCGCCGTCAAGGGCTTCCTTGACCCCGTTACCGTTAGCAAGATCCACGTTCTCGGCAGCGGATACCAGAAGGAGCTTCTGTCCCAGGTTCCCGCCGAGAACTTGCCCGTCGAGTTCGGCGGCTCTTGCAAGTGTGCCGGTGGCTGTGAGCTCTCCGATATGGGCCCCTGGAAGGAGGCTGAGTGGGCCCGTCCCCCTAAGTGGGCTGCCCCCAAGGAGGAGGCTCCTAAGGAGGTTGCTCCTAAGGAGGTTGCTGAGCCTGTTGTTCAGAATGAGGACCCTGGATATGAGAAGAAGGATGCTGAGGGTCAGGAGGGTGTTCAGACTAGCGCTTAAGCTTGCTGCTACAAGTCGACAATCTCCTTTTATATGGCGACTGAAAACATAACCTCAGATAGGGATGTTGGAGGTCAACTTTTCACCCCCGATCAACTTGAAAACCTCAAAAAATATTACCTGGGGATTCCGACATCCCAATACAACCCCAATATCCCCAGGCATACCGGCATCTCTCTCCGGTAGTTTCAATACCTCTTCGCCGATCCCACCGCCTGTGGACTCCTTGCTCTAAATTCGCTGTTTGCGCTTTTGCTTTTGTGTTCCGATCTAGATATCATGGAGAGCTTCCTTGTGTTTTTGCTTTTGCCTATCAAGATAAGCAGCGTGTGCTGCCACTGCTCTCAGTATAGAAGGGACAGGACGTGATGAAATTTAAAAGCGAGTTGGTGTGAAGATGGTGTTTAGCTGGTTGTTTCTTTGTTGGTAGTGGTGTATACACGAATGGTCACATATTGAAATAGTAGCTGTCATGTCTAGGACACAAGGGTCTTTGTTATGCTTATTGCGATGTGAGTAGCAGTAAGAGAAGGGATAAGAGTAATAAGCAACAGTATTTGCCTTCGCTATAGAGATAGCAGAATTCAGTCCGAAGAAATAAAAGATCGGATTTCGACTCAACAGAGCCATCAAGAATAAACAAGACATGGTATCATGATCCCTAGGACAAGCCCAGAGCCCCGAAACGCCCCCAAAGAAATAACAGAGAAGAGAACGCTAGTCAACCCCCAAAGTCCTCAAAGCCCTCACTTATTCATACTCTCCACCACTTCAGCAGCACGCCCAGCTCTCTCAGCCTTGCCCACTGTCGTTGCCAACGCATGACCCTCCACACCAGCCTCGGTATTAACATTGCCTTCGCCCTGCAACCGCAACAGCATCCGCAAAGAATCCTCATAGACACTCGCAAAATCCCCACTCTTCCACCGCTCCCGCTCCTCCTCCGTCCCAAGCGCAGCCTGCAATGTCCACGCAGGATCGTAGTTTCCACGTGTGTGCCGCGAGCTGGCCGATCCAGTTCCGTTCGTAGAATCAACATCCATACCATCAGCTTCTTGGCCGGGCGTGTTTTCGGTTTTACTATTCGATCGGGGCTGCACATTCGCAGAGTCACCCATCTCGGTATCATTATCGACGTCTTTCCCTCCATCAATCTCATTTTCATATTCCTCCTCCTCTTCAATCATCTTCTTCAACTGCGCGGCATATTCCTTCGCCGCACGTCTTGGCGCATCCCGTCTCTGCTGCGCGACAGTCGTATTAAGCGATTCCAGCTGAGCGTATAGCGACGTCACACGCGATGCAAGATCTGTATCGAAGGCCTCGTACTCGACTTGTTCTGTTGGCGCGGTGAATGCTGCCGGGAACGGGAATTGTGGTGAGGTGGAGTCTATGCCGTTGATGCTGATTGAATTTGAGGCGGATTCGAAGGTTTGGTTTATGTACTGTTGTGAGGTTAGGGTCTGTAGGGGGTAAGTAGGTTGTTCTAGTCTTACTTCGTCGATTAGCTCCCGGACGCGTTCGCGCATCGGATCGGGGGTGTCATTGTCTCTTGCGGAAGGGGGGAAGTAGAGGTCGAGTTTTCGGCGCGATAGTGCGACTGTGTTGGCATAGAGGTAGGTGAAGTCTGCTGGGGATTGAAGCTCGACTTTTCGATAGTGTGGTGCTGCCATGGTTGTAGTTGTTGATGTTTTTTTTGTTCCCGCGATTTGTTGCAGGAAATGGCCTTGGCGTTCCTGAGGTCATCCCCGCAAACGATGTCATCGATGTTGCATTTTGCCAAAGTGTGTGTTTTTTTTAAACTCTCGTTTCTTGTTTTCTTATTTAATACTTTCTTTTGTACTCTACAATACTCTACAATTCTACAACTCTACGTTTCTATTTTCTATTTTCTATCTTATAACCCTCCTTTGTGATAACCCCCTATGATAATGCGAGTACAGCATACTCGGTGATATTTCACAGTCGAGGATTGGGAAGCGGTAACACTAAGACATTCCTTTATATACCCTCACACAAACCATGGAAAACTCGCCTTCCATTTCCCTCGTGGATAATACCGCCCCACAACAACCTACCGGCGAAGCACTCCAACCACGCACATCCACCCTCAGTCAACAAAGAAGCCTGACGAAGCACCTGAGCCGTGCATCCGTCCATAGCCAGCTCGCAAAGCGGAAATACGCAAAATGGCAACCCGATAGACTCGGTATCGCACCCGACAGAAATGACTCACCCAGCCGAGAATTGTCCCAGGTGCGAGGAGAGTCAATCTCAGCAAGCTCCGCCGGAGAAGGCAGCAGGGGCAGAGATGTCGAAACAGCTGACTTTGCGCCGTCCCGAGTCTCGACCCATAACAGCAATGGCAGTGGTCAGGTGAACGGAGCAGGAGACCAAACAAACAGCCGCGAGGACACCAAATCGCGCTCGGAAATGGACATTCTCTACGAGAACCAGCGGGGCTGGTTCGTTTTCGGTGTCCCACGTTACTCGCAGAGCTCGCTGTTGAACTTCGATCCCAGCGCCTGGATGACCCAGGACCACACAGCCAGTCCTGTTAATATCACGAATGCTCAGCTGCCTGATCCGAGCTGGGAATGGACGTGGAAGACATGGTATGTTGACATGTCTGGTGATACCGACGAGCAAGGCTGGCAGTACTCTTTTTCGTTTTCCTCGTCTTCGTGGCATGGTACGCAGCCGTGGTTTCATTCGTTTGTTCGGCGGAGACGGTGGGTGAGACTACGGACTAAGGTCCATGAACAGCGGAACCATGGTCGCTCGGACTTTGAGAAATCGCATATGCTTACTGAGGACTATTTTACCATTCATTCGTCCAAGGTCAGAAGTCGGGACCAGAGCACCGCGGGACTGTCCCGCGTGGAATCTGGGTTCAATCGTGCGAGCATGACGGTTGATGAGGAGTCACATGTCGATGAGATTGGGGATATACCCAGCTTGATGCATGCTTTGAAATTAGCTTCCATTGATCGAGAGAGGATTGATGCACTGAAGAAATTTATTGAAGACGGGGGCGATGAGCTCTATTATCTGAACGACAAGGTGAGTTGGACGATCTTCCTAATCTGTATGTTGAGACTGGGCTAACTCTACTTTCACGGATACTAGATACCAGATATAATGCCCATGTTCCTATTCCAGACCTCCCGCTGGCAATTTGTAACATATATTTCTGGTGTTATTCGTGAGCTGTCTAAAACTCTCACTGATTCTGATAAGGACGCCGATGCAATCCAACGCAAGAAAGATAATCTCGCCCGCGCCGCAGAATCTTGCAAACGTCATATTACTGGACCGGATGTCTTTAAAGATGATCACGGAGAGTCAACAACGGGATTGTTAGACTTGACTCCGGTGACCAAGCACGATACATTATTGTCTAAGCGACCGGTCTTGGAGGAGCGAACGAAGTCAATGAGGCGGGTTTTCAGGGGAATTCCCAAGGCTGCTGAGATCGACCATGAAGGCCACATTTATTAATGTAATAAAACTCTGTATAACTAAGTGAAATAGATCTTCGTATTGAAAGCAAAGTATAGCTCCGGCAGAGCCAAGCTCCGGCCACCGCCTACCCGTTCGGCGGCCAGCAATTTTCGGGGCAAAAAGGACCATCGAAAAACACCTCAGCAACGCGCCCAATTCTTGTCTTTTCATGTCTCCGGTGCCATTAGAGCATCGTCCCTTATGCTCTTGCGTGGCTGCCCGTGTCTAAGGAGGCGTGTGTCTGCCGTCTTGGACACTGTCGCGACTGGCCCCGATGAGCCTCTTCTGTTTCTCTATCCCCGCTGGGCTGCGCCTGCTTTGCAACGTCGACGGATATCTTCCCTAAAGCCGATTGATGCTCCAGCGAGGATAGGTCATACTTCCAATTCCCCATTTCGCGCAACATCTCGCTCCTACCCTTCGCTTTCTCGACACTCGCGCCAATGGATTTCCTCCGGGTCCTCCTTCCGGTCTCCCGACGATTCGAATCCGCAATATTCTCCCGCGGTGGTTGGAGAACATCTTAAAATAAGCGTGGGGAAGGAAATTGGCTCTGATGGTCTGAATGAAAGTGGTGGAGACCGGCTCTCCGCAGGCCAGACACAATCTGTCAATTCGCTCGCAGATGCCGAACACACCACTTCTCTGATACCACTACGTGGCTTCGCGTTGACGAGAGCGAAGAGAATACAGAAGGGCCGACTGCACAACAAACCCCTGAACGCCAAACCTTCGTCGCCTACGCAGAAACAACTTTTTTTACGAAATACATCGATTCGAGATCGAAAGAAGTTACGGTTTCGCGAATATATGAAGAAAAAATATCAAGCTCGTTCAGCAAAGCTCTACGACAATGCTTGGTTTGAGACTAAGGACATTCTGGATCAAGTGTACCGCGATATCCGGAAAAATCCCAAGAAGAGTTCGAACAAGAAGGAGATACTTGTACCAGAGGAGACCCTCGCCCTGTTTTCTGGTGTGACTCGTCATACATTGAAAGATAATATTTGGTACATCCCGATCCATAACGGATGTCGTGTACACATCCTACCTGCAAGTCAGAGCAAGGGATTGCTCCGTCGGGTCGTTTTGAGTGCCACAGACCATATTATGGCGCTGGTGGAAGGACATTTTACCCGCGCGCAGAGCTTACAAGCTATGGGAGATCCCCTTGTTGATATACACAAACCACCGGTTCCAATGTGCATTTCTCGGGGCGCGATGCAGCGCTCGAAGCTGCCTGTACCATTGATTCGTGGAAATTGGCATTTCGGTGAAACGTCGGATAGCAGCTCCAATCTGGACGAGATTCTGCTGCCTCGTCCGGTTATCGCTACCGTGAAGGAGTTCAACGAGCACATCGAAGATGTCACATCTGCGAGGCAACCGACGCTCGATGAGAAGGCCATGTCTCTATCAAAGCTTCCGCACGTGGTCAGGATTAAACTACACCTGGAGGCGCTATTCATGGAAGAGGCATACTCCAATTACATCTCGACTGCGGCCTTAAATAATGCGCTGGAATTCCTTTGTCGACATGAGTTCCTTGAGACTGCCCGAACTTTGTGTTCATGCACAGAACATGTAGCTACTACTGATACATATAACATCCTGTTGCGGGCAGCTGCGCGGCGTCAGGATGTGGGTGTCTTCCGTCACTTCCTGCGGACAATGCCTAAATTAGACATGCGTCCAAACCCAGAAACATGGCTCGCCTTGCTCAGCGCCCTGGTTGTCCCCAGCGAAAAAGCCCAACTCATTGAACATATGGTCCAGCGTGGTCACATGTCCAACCTTTCCACCGTCCACAGCGCGCTCCAGGAGACAATCCAAGATTCACTTTTGGTGCATTTGGACAGTGGGAAAGATATAGACTCCTTCATTAGCCTCATGACCAATACATGGGGGGCCAATTGGTTCAGCTCGTCTGTGATCGGCCAGATGTTCAGCGTGGTCGCTCGATTGAAGGATTTCGATTCCATAGACCGGCTCATGGAAATCTGCATCGAGAACAATCTCACCGTGGACAGTTATCCGCTTAGCCATATTGTGCAAGCCCTGGGAGCGAACATCCACGCTGCTTTGCACTATACCCTCCGGTTCTTCGAGCACCCTTTGTTCGAGGTAACCGCACAGAATTGGGAGGATTTGTTTTTGGCTGCATTCAGGCGCCGCCAGTACAACCTCTGCCTGGTTATATGGCGGTATTCTTGCATGAAAAGAGCCGTGACCTACAAGATGAAGCAGGCTGTTTTGGCTTCCTTATGTCGCAACGCGTCCTTTGGTAAATCCACGAAACTTGACAAAGATTTGTGGAGTTCCGATGCCGGCAAGGTTATTATTGGTATTGACGTGCACCATGAAAGCTACAGGCTTCCAGACTCCATTTTGAACGATATTCCCTCCGAGTTCCGTCACAATCCTGTTCTTTACCTCATCGGATGGAAGCCCAGGGGTGAAAAGCGTGATCTTCAAATCCGCCTTGCCAATGCCCTCATTAAGCGTGACCTCATCCTTGGTGCAACCCGCTACGCCCCCCAGCATCCTTCCCCGATTATGCTGGATGCAGCGTCCATCTTGGACAAGGAATGGCGTGGTGTACCGCGGCCTCTGACTTGGAAGATGCAAAACGCCATTCAAGTTCCCGTTGTCCGTAAGGACAAAGACCGAGATCAAGAGAAAGACAAAGACCAATAATCTCCCAGTCCTCCCTTTTACATCATTGTGCATTCTTCGATCCTTCTACCTTTTTGACGCTAGCGTGTTGCATGAATATCCCATCTGGCGGGCTTGTTTTGGCTGGTGTTTGTTTGATGTACTCTAGTCTTCCTACTTCCCTGTCACCTTGTATCTTATACTTTGTACATTATCTGAAAATATAGAACCATAGAGCTGCAATTTCCAGAATAAGATCTGAATGTCTATCTATCTAATCGTGAGCGAATACATTTCCTCTTTCAATATAAGCACCATCAAAATCTAAGCAATGCATCGAGATCATTCATAAAAACGTCATGGGCAGAATGGGAATCCCCACCACTTGGAACTCCCACTTTGTCCACTGAAGCAAGGCCCCCACGCAGGCTCTCGGCATCGCAAGCTAACGCCTTCTCCAACCCAACCCTTTCATCTGGAGGCGCCGAAGACAGAGACCAAGATCGAGACCGAGAAACAGGTATGCTGATCCCCTTTATAGAAGCCGCCTCCGCACAATCCCTATATAAACTCTCAGACGGAAGGTGCCTCGAAGATTCCAGCCCTGACAAAGACATATCCACATCCTGCTTTCTCCCAATTGGTGCATTCTGCATGTGTGCCATGTCCCCTTCAATCTCGGGCGGAGGGGACGGGGACGGGGAAGTGGAAGTGAGAGAAGGCAGTAGCCGGCGTATCTCCGAATATGACGAATACACCGCACTCCATCGGGGTACTTCGTGATCGATTCCCTTTGGCAGAAAGCCATTGACGTGGAATTGGTTTTCGTTCTTACTAGCTTTCTGGCTGTTGTTGCGTTTGGGCATTTGTTGCCGGGGAGGTCTTCCAACGGGGTTGTAAGTCTTGCTAGCATACGTATCTTGTTGATTTTACACACCTCTCAATTGAATCTCGCGGGATGCATAATTGATCTTCTTTGCGACAGTGCGTGCACTGGTGATATGGCGGGGCGATGTCGCATCGCTTTTTGCGGGCGTGACAGGCTATACATGCTGTTTTCCCGGGTCGACGACCTTGCTTATTTGCTTTTGTTATCCCAGACGGGCCTTGGATGTGTCTGAGTGCTGCTGGATCCATTGGGGATGAGAATATTTTGGATTATAAAATGTTAAAATGTAGACAAGGGGGACCTCGGCACGTAGCTATATATAACAGGCACAGGTTCCACATTTTACAATTAGATCCAAGCTTTTAGCATAACCCCATAACCGGGATATCCGACAGGTCGAAAGGTGTTGTTCCATGTAGATTCGGTGATCCAAATGGGAATGGGAATGCGTTGGCTTTAGCCTGTTTTATACAGCCATTATCACATGCCCTATCACATGTCATATAAAAATCTCATTTTACTCCTTTTTCACTGCTTACATTCTTATTATTCTACCTGCAATAAAGGGGAAATATTTAAAAGAAAGTACATCTATATTATATCCGAGACATCTAAAAATATCAAAACAGACATGACAAGGCCGCGTAAGGGGCCGATTATTGCTACTATCTTTATTAAGATATATGGCGGATATATATTTAGAAGCGGTGTACATGCATATACATAGCCACATGAGATCTCACCTCAATCTCCCTCTTCCCCCAATTGTCCTAATAGCTTGCAGTCCATGAATCATACACTCAATTTAGTACGATTGCATATAGTGCCAGTGGAACCTACCCCAGAGCTAGCATCACACCTCTAATCCCTCCACATGCCGTCCAAGTACTCCAAGAGTTGGGACAGTTTTGTATCAAACAACCTTGAAAGATTCAAACAGACTTTGAAAAGCAGCTCTATCTCACAGGATTCCAATATAGTCTATCTATCAGGAGTGATGATTCAAGCCATCAAGCTGGGAAGAACCTGTTTTGTGAAAGAGCTGCTCCGTCATGAAATGCCTTTGTCTCCGTTGTATATCTATGAGGCTATCAAAACGAAATTAATACAAAGGAAGTCCTGGAAAGCTTTTCAGAAAATGGATGGGACATTAATCGACCGATGAGCAGAATGAATCCCCCGATTCTTAGGTGAGTCGAACTACCAATGTCCAAAATTGCCTCCTAGTAACGCTTGATATATATAGTAATGCCTTGGACGACCTTGAGATAATAACCTGGCTCCTTAATCACGGAGCTGATCCAAACCGCCGATGTAGCATTGATCTCACGCCACTCTCCTACGCTGCTGAACACCCCTCTCTGCCAATCATCAGTCTTCTGCTCAATTGTGGCGGGCGATGTTACAAAAGGGCAGGTTCTGCGCCACGCAGTTGCTCGAAACTCCGATGCAGTGGTTATTCTGAAGCTCCTCATTGCTCGGGGCGCTCCGATCAACGGTATCATGTATCAAGATCATCAGCCTTCTTGGGACATGTATTTCTTTATGGAGGAAACTCCTCTCCACAAGGCAGTGTATCTTCGCAAAATCGATGCCATTCATTAACTTCCTGGGGAGGGAGCGGACCCTAACATCAAAGATGTCAGGATCCTAAATGTTATACAATGTGCCGATGAAGAGATTCGGAGGGAGATCACAGATTCGATTTGAGCTAGCAAAGCAGATCTTCTATATCCAATTTAGGGCACGCCAAATGATATTTGCGCAAGACCGTTCGTTTTCTGTCCTTTCTCTTTCTTGCTTCGGAGTTACTCTCATTGAATGCTCAAACCATAGGCTATCGTAATCCATATGGGGTTACTTTGACAGCCATATTGGCTTTTTTTGTCCCCAGCTGTTGGCCCCATTTCTTGAAAAGTGGCCATAGTGGAGCGCCAACCGAGGCGATCAATAATGTCCAGATTTCTATGATATTGAGAATGATGGCTATTTCGATATGCGCTATGAATTATGTTAGTAGAAATGTCGTGCAAGTGCTTCTCCTGGTAAACAGGAACAATATACAGACGTTTGAATCGAGTAAAAATTATCAAGTTAACGACACTAACAACAGTGCCTATAGTATCTAGGCTGAGCAAAATGCAGATGAGAATTTTCTGCTTTCTGCGGATCTGACGATTCCACATAATGATCACTGGGTACATTAAGAGTGATAGATCCGTCACTGTTGCCCATACTATAGATAGTAACTATGTTAGACTCTTGCTGTAAACTGAAGAGTAGGTCTATACATACCTCCATACCAGATTGACCGGAATTTTCCTTGTTGTGTACACTTCATCACGGTACTGGCTGTTACAACTCGGACCCCGAAAACATTAGAGTCAATTGAGTCCCCGAGAACACGAGCCCACACCATATAATTGATATAACCACCCGGCACACAGCCTTCGCTATCTTGCTGTGCCTCCTGGTACCCAAGAAGATCGGGGACTACCTCACACTTCTGTTCTGCGAGGCTCTTGAGCGCTTGAAGTTTCGTATGCATCCGCTGCGTGACAGCCTGCTGGGCTCGGGCTCTAGGGCTGCGAGCGATCGTTCCAGTGATATGTATTTGGATATAAATCCGTATGATCCCCTTCTTATTATGGTCAGCAGCACCATGGCAAGCGAACTTGATAGCTGCAAATGGGGGGCCAAGACCTCCATTAACCTCGTCCTGGGTCATTGTCTGGTACTGTTCCTTCATCTTCTCGTCTAATACCCACCTCAGTGTCGGAGAGGTGGTCAAAGTCGCCGGGCCAGAATTCGTTGAGGAGAGGTACGGAGGGATGTTTTTGAAAAGGTTTCCTTTGCAGAAGGAAAGAAAGAGCAGACCACGGAGGGGAGATAGAGGGAAGGAGAGCGAAGTTTCCTAGCAACCTTGGGAACTATACCCTGGCTGGAACCTGGCACCACGCCAACGCTCTCAATATATATTGGTCTTAATTTTACTACATCATCTGTACATTTTATGCGCTTACACTGTCGGAGATAGGCCATATCTACTACTATTATTCATTATGCTTTTAGCTATAACGAGAAGGGAAAATATCTAAAAAAGAGACATCTAAAGAGACTCTTAGGAAGACTCCTAGGAAGAGCTGAAAAGACTCCTAAAAAGAACACCCAAACAAGAGATCAGAGTGTTATCTTACATATAATTTCCCTTATATCATCTTGACATTGGATTAATCAAGTCCTAAGCCGTTAAGGACAGAAGCTGCATACACAGCCAACTGCTCTATTCAAGCATCAGGACCACAAGATTGTATGCTTTAATATCTTTGAAGAGATCAGGTTAGCTACGTCAAATCTGAAAGCTTCTGCCCTATGCATGGGAACGTACGTCTGCACGTTACACATCATAGAGATATGAGATAGAAGTGGGTATTGCACCTGTCTTGTATGACATATCCCCAACCAGAGCAGAGCAGCTACTTGGCACACTTCTCAGGCAATTTATCTTTCTATACAATATAAGTTCCACAAGGACACCAGTTCCTGTGAGGTATATCTATTCTGGTCATTTCCCATAATTATCATGACATGTCATGCCAGCACAGCTTGACAGAGCAACGAGGAAACTTCATAGCGCTGCTTGGTACCAAAAATCAAATCAACGACCCCATATTCGCATGAGAATGCGCTCCACACGCGTCAGGTAGACCGGGTACTGATGGCGGAAGACCATAGGGATCAACAAGTCCCGTCCGAATCGCGCCCACGCCTTCTTTGAGATAGAGCACAAGCCGGTAGGCCGAGTTACCATTCAGGTAATATCGGTGGAGCTGTTTGCTACGAAGGAAGCCCAGCCGCTCGTATAGTTTCATCGCGCCGGTATTGGTGATTTCGGTTTCGAGGACGATCTGCCCAAACACGTACAAGTCAGCCCACCATACCATTAAGACCACCTCGTTTGAGGATCAACAGCCATCCCCGTTGTGTATACATACCTCATCTGCATCTCGCTCGATCATAGCATCAATAGCCATGCGCACTAGCTTGGTTGCAATTCCCCGGCCTCGGTACTCTTCGCGCACGGCCAGCATGGCGATATACCCTCTCAGCGGACCGTCGCGGTGTGGCTCTAGCTTCGATACCACAACCCCGACCATCTCGTCCTTATCATCCATCGCGAGGAAACACAGGTCGCCCCATTGGTATAGGAAGTAGCGGTAGACGTAGATGCTGTAGGGTTCGGACAGATCTTTGGAGATCAGCTGGCGCATTGCGGCGACATACTCATTTTCGCGCGACTTTTCGTATCGCACATAGCGAAGATCGGGAGTGCTCATCACGATATCATTGAAGTGGGTTGATATGGTTGGAGTTGACGGAGAGGGTGGGGGGTCGAAGAAAGTTAACTCTCTGCCATGTGATGCCGATCCGTCCGTTCGCGGACTTTATGCACTTCCGTGTTTTTCTCAAGTCCCCTTCCTTCTCTTTCTTTCTTTTTCTTCAAGTTGATTTCGCCAATATTCCAGGCAAATCGATTACACCTTCTTTTTCTCCCTTCCTCGCGGGTGGTTGCTATGTTCCGCCGCCGCATGGGCAAGGACAAGGTCCCGCCCTCTGACCAAATTAGCGGAGATACAAGAGCCGAGGAAGAACAGCTTCGTGCGGAGTTTGATGATGCAAAAGTCAAGCAGATAGTTATTAAGCCCCGGAGTAAACGCCGCAATGGGTTCATCTTCATGCTGGGCGGCATCTTCGGCATCTTCATCGCATTGTTCTTCGCGAACCAGCATGAGGTCATAAGCTTAGATTCGCTCATGGACCTGAATCTCGACTCATGGATTGAAGCTATTCCACAGGGAATTGTCAGCGACGTGAAAGAATTCTCGGTACGTGCTTCCCAAGGGAGTGCCCTTATCTCTACATCTAGTTACTGACTTCCAACTGGGATATAGCAACACGAACGCGATACCGTCAGCTATGATTCGTTTGCTGTTGGACTACAACTTCGAGCCCAGGGCATAGAAGCCAAACACCCCGTCGTGATGATCCCCGGAGTTATCTCGACTGGCTTAGAGAGCTGGGGCACGGGGGAAACTTCGCGACAATACTTCCGCCGACGATTATGGGGCAGCTGGAGCATGATGAGAGCATTAGTCATGGATAAAGCTGAATGGAAGAACCATGTCATGCTCGATCGGGATACAGGCCTTGACCCGCCTGGCATTAAGCTCCGTGCGGCGCAGGGATTTGATGCCACGGATTTCTTTATCACGGGATATTGGATATGGAATAAAATCTTGGAGAACCTGGCTACCATTGGCTATGATCCGACCAATGCGTTTACTGCTGCGTACGACTGGCGACTCTCATACCTCAATCTCGAAGTTCGCGATAGGTATTTCACTCGACTCAAGTCCTACATCGAGACCGCGGTGCAGGTACAAGGCGAGAAAATCACACTGGCATCCCACAGCATGGGATCTCAGGTGGTGTTATATTTCTTCAAGTGGGTAGAGAGCGAGGAACACGGAAAGGGCGGCAAAGACTGGGTTAACAAACATATCGACTCATGGGTCAACATCAGCGGCTGTATGCTAGGCGCCGTTAAGGGATTGACCGCCGTTCTGTCCGGAGAAATGCGGGATACAGCGCAACTGAACGCCTTTGCTGTGTATGGACTGGAGAAATTCCTATCGAAAGAGGAACGTGCGGAGATCTTCCGCGCGATGCCCGGTATCTCCAGCATGCTACCAAAAGGTGGTGAGGCCATATGGGGAAACTCGACCTGGGCACCAGATGACCAACCAGGCCAGCCCCTGACCTTTGGCAACCTGCTCCGCTTCCAAGACTCCAACTCAACGTTGACACAACGCAATCTTACCACGACAGAGAGTCTACAGTACCTCCTGGACCACAGCGAGGATTGGTACCGGAACCAGGTTCTGAATAGCTACTCGCACGGCGTGGCGCATACGAAACGCGAGGTCGAAGCCAACGAGAAGGACCCGCGCACCTGGCTCAACCCTCTAGAGTCGCGTCTGCCCCTCGCCCCAGACATGAAGATATATTGCTTCTATGGCGTGGGAAAACCCACAGAGCGCAGTTACTTCTACCAGGAAGAGCCCGACCCACTGGTCAACCTCAAAGTCAGCATGGACACTACCATCACCAACAACGAGGGCGTCGACCACGGCGTTTTAATGGGTGAGGGCGATGGCACCGTGAACCTGCTTAGCACGGGCTACATGTGCGCCAAAGGCTGGCGCATGAAGCGTTATAACCCAGCCGGCACAAAGATCAAGGTCTTTGAGATGCCTCACGAGCCTGATCGCTTCTCGCCCCGCGGTGGTCCCAACACTGGTATGTTTTCCTTTGCTCTGTTATCTACTCTTTCCCACGCTATATGACAGACGACTAACTTCATATAGGTGATCACGTGGATATCCTAGGCCGCGCCTCACTCAACGACCTTCTTCTCCGTGTCGCTGGCGGCAAAGGCGATTTAATCGAGGAGACTTTCTTCTCCAAAATCCGCGAGTATGCGGATCGTGTACAAATCTTTGACGAAGAATAGATCGAATGGGGTTCCTTATGACTGTGGATAATTGTTCTTTTTCGCGTTTTGATACACATAGCTGTTTTTAGACATCTGGGATTTTTTCTAGACGGGGTTTTTGCTTATGAGCATTCTTGTACATTTCTTTATGACAAACACTTATATGAATACATTATATTTCTATGGCAACATGTATTTATTTAATTACTAGCTTGTGATCAGAATACTCAAACCATGTCAACAAGCCCGGATCACGGATAAGCACGGATACAGCTTCTTTCTTAGCCCTAAAAATAGTGATATATGCAAGCTACCAGCAACTGATCCCGTGTGATCGATGGAGCTGGACTCATTATTGGCCGCGAAAAGCAAGGATCACAACATGTTCCGTCCAGTGTGGATAGTGCTTATCACACAGGCGGGGTTGTTCTCTTCACGTTGGACCTAATGAAGGGTTGAAAAGCTCTTAACTTGAATGCTGTATACTACACTATGCGTTTATGTACAACAAAACCCAGAGATGTAGATAATGTACAATGATTCATTGACTCAATACGCTGATTAAAAATAATGCTAGCAATATCCGTGGACCCAACAGGATCTCACCGCCAAAAGTAACGATAAGAGGCAACAGAGGCAACCCAACCCGAGGAAACGAGCAAGTCGTAAGGGTGTCAAGGGAGGCGTGGATGCATTAGGTCGGATCGGCTTCATGCTCGATAGCCAAAAGCGAAGAGAATGGGCAAAGCTCGAGAGGGAGATGGCCTCCGTCAAAAGTACCAAAATCCCATTCACCGTAGCTGCCATGGTGACTCGAGCTCTGGAAGCAAGAGTCCCAGCTTTCAATGTCCCCCTTCTTTCCTTTCCTCGGATCTTTGCGTGTATCCACACGAAAAGAATCCACATGTCAACGCCGATTAATCGCCTGCCAGGCGTAGACACAGAGGGTAGATCAAAACGATCTTTTTGAAAACCCTTGTGCCAATGCAAAATGTCGTAAAACAGCCAATATTCAATAATCCTTCTAGTGCACAGCGAGTGGTGGTGCAGCAAAAAGCGCCGAAGAAAGCGCCGAAACTTTTCATCTCTCCGAAAAAAACAGTTTAAAGTTCCCAGACGCCAATGATGAGCGAGCGACACGAATAGTAAAAAATATTTGTTCATCTGGACGAGCCGAAAGAAGAAAAAAAGGGTGGCTCGCCCAGTTCATAAAGTCGTAGCGAAAGACATGGGTCAGAAAAATAGAGGGTATCGCCCGAGGGCGTCCGAGAATGTGTACAAGCGAATGTTGCCAAAGGTGGCGGTGCAGGGGGGATTGGCGAATGCAGGCAGGTGAACAAGGCCCGATCCCCTCCCGTCACAGATATTAATATTATAGACGGAGTTGCCAGCCCAAAGTGGGGTGACGAGGCATGTACAGAAGGTGAAGTGTACCTTCAGCTCGAGGCGGAAGTACCGCGCGAACCGGAGGTTTATTAAAAACCTTAAGGTGCCGAAAATTGCTCGATGCAGATAATGTTCCCAAACATTGTCGTCAAACATAAAACGCCGATTCAAAAGTAGATGCAAGAATGGACTGTGCCGAGTCACATGTGCAAATGAGAGTCGAAGATTAGCGTCCAGCCTCGATGTCGTGGTTCGAGGTGAGAGTTTCGCTTTCCCAGGTGTAATGATCGTCCACGGGGCTCAGAGAGCCCGAGGAAACGGACGAAGAAGAGCCCACGGTCCACTCGTCGCTATCCAAGTTGAAATCGCCATCCAAGCTGGCAAGATCATACCCTCCTTCGCGAGAAGAGTCACCGATCTCAACGTAGTCGTAGTCCCAGCGGAACATCTTGTCCGCCTGGACCCGCGGCAGGAATCGGGTCTTGGCATAGTAGAAGGCGACTGTGGCAAGTAGGCCACCACAGACCAGATCGACTGCGTAGTGGTGGGAAAGATACATGGTAGCCCACCACATCCATAGAGTGTAGGTAACCCAGAGGGGCTTCAATCGCGGGAAAACGTGGCTCATGAACAGTGCTGCTAGGGTGGAATCGGCAGCATGGAGCGAAGGGAATGCACCGAAAACAACAGGGGACTGCTTGAAGCCCGAGGTGTAGAGATCAATTCCCAACAGCTTGTCAATGCGAGCAAGACCAGCTGGGTTTCCCTGCATCGAGTAGTCGGCTGGAGCCAAACCATACAGATTTTCGTACCAGGGTGGCGAGCAGGGGAAAGCCAGCTGAACGAAGACCGCGGTCATACTGATGTATCCAAGAGTCCGGGCGTACAGAGGGGTCGTTCCCGGAGGTCCGAAGAAGAAAAGGATCAGCGAAACGACAAATGGCGCTCCGTAGTGGCAGAGCCCGTAAGGAATCCATGCCAGAATGTCAAGCACCACATTTTGGTGGGCGGATAGAATGTTGCTGATGTTGGCACCGTAGAGAATATTTTCCATGGCTGGTAACACTCGGACCCAAATGGCTGGCCGCCAATCGCTTGGAACGAATCTAGAGAAACATGTTAGTGAAGTTCCCATTGTGTGTCGCGTTCACATCCCCGCACATCCCGCTCACGCCACAAGGACTTGAAGGCGCATCGGTTGCAAGGAAACGTAACAGAAGGCAAAACTTACTGGCATCCATAGAAAAAGATAAGCCACCCAGCAACGGGGAGGAAAGGCAAGAAGAACTGCCGGGTAATTGGCATGAGGAGGGAGCACAAAAGTCCGGTGGCAATCGCCGTCTTTCCCAGTGGACCAGGAGACTGGATGATTGTCAAGGAGAAAAAGCCGATGACGAGGAGCAACAAGTATTGGAAGTCGTACATTGTCCATCGGTGTGACTGTAAGGATTTGAGGGTGTCGACAGGCGAGAAGGAGGTTTGCAACCTCGAGATGGACGAGGTGGGTGAGAGACGGCTACGGAGTTTGGACCGGAGCTTGCGACGCATGCGATGTGGTACCAACAGCTGGAATGAGCGCCATGGAATTTGGATTTGAAGCTTTCCAAACTGATTCTGCGTGCGATCTTTCCATGACGGGTAGGAGGCGCTCATGTTTGCGACTCTCCTCCAGGAGGCTCCGGGTCGCGTGGGAAAGGGGTGTGTTGGGAATTGAAGGAATGCCGCGGGGCAAGACGGAAGGATTTCGCGTAGCGGAAGGAGGTTTATCGTTCGGAAGAAAAGCTCATGAAGAGTTGAGATAGTCCGATAGGAAGGCGAAGGATAGGGCCGAGGGGCGTCCCAGGTAACTCAGGAGGTCACGTTGACAAGGGTCGGGATGCAAGGAGAAAAAGAGCACCGAGAAAACCCAGGATAAACAGAACTCGAGACAACCAAGGAGACCACTTGAAGCCCTGAAACGGAGATATTAAAGAAGAGATGGGAAGGGGAAGAAAAGACCTGGACTTCACCCATGGGCTGAAGTATTGGGCGTATTCGTATTTACCAATATCTAAATTTTGGGTGTAATTTTCCCGGTACAAAGTATGTACAACTTTAATTACATGTTATGTATCTACTAGTCCTATGTAGGTATATATGGCGTCACTAGTATGGAGTTGGCATTTTACATTTTATTCCTTTACTCTTTTCAGGTACGGAGCACAAAGTGTATAACATTTGAAGTAACATTTGAAGTGCTTCTAAATATCCCATATTGCAATTCTGACCGGAGCACTCGGCAGTATTTCATAATATGTAATTTGACTCGGAAGCCACGGAACGGAGGACGGAGATCACATTTCTGCCCGGTGGACATATCTCGGACTTTGTCATGCCAATGCTCCGACTTGTTTAGTCCTTTTTATGCAGAAGGCTCCGAGACTCCCGATAATATCTCTACACAATTTATATTACTTGAACTCTTATATGAATATAGTAAAATACCTCAATGACCTAACGACTTGCAGCCACCTTTTAACTTTTCAAGGCTCCTACCTTCCAAGGTTGGAAATTAAATATTGCTTACATACTCCGTATGATCCTCAAAATTACGGTTGAACGTAAATTTTCGCAAATTTTCCATATAAGATCCATCATCGGAGTCTGATTGGCTACTTTTACTTCGCCCCCACTGGCATCGTTCGGTCCCGGTAACATCAGAACTCCCTAATTTCGCTTATGCACAGCTTGTAACATCTTACTTCGTCGTCCTGGTGATTCAAAACACTAATATTGAGGCTATCGGCCAATGTTCAGATGGTATACTCCTGTATATTAGCATAAGACTCAGCCCCGAACCACACACGATCAGCACTCGGGAGTCCCGGTTTAACAGGTTTAAACCAGTTAGGAGAAAACATCACACCATTAGGGCCGTTTTACATGGGGCCAGCGCGTAAATGAGGATGTGCAGGCTATCAAATGTCCTGCTCAGGGGATAACGGATAATCCAGGGGAGAACCAGCCTCCTGATTTAAGCAACAACCAGCGTACAGCATCTCTGCCGTAAAAAGACGGCACAGCTGTGATTGAATATACTTTCCACCCCCAAGGGATGGTACACATGCGTTTCAGAATTCAAGTGTCGCGCGACCGCAGCCAATCACCTCTTGATTTTATCTCCAATCCAGCGTCAAAGCTCCCTGGGCATTTAACAATATAGGTCGTAGCTCCGTAAGCTCCGTAAGCTGTACGGAGTACGGAGGAACACATGTCTATAACTCCGTTGCCTAAATATAAGACTTAGTACAATATGTATTCATCTTTCGAATACGTTCGTATTCGTGCCGGGGGGCGGTTGCCTAGATGTGGGTTCAAGCTTAGAAGTGATGCAAGGCTGATGTGTAGAGCTGCGCCACAGACATGAAGTCAAGCTGTAATATGCCAACGGGAAGGTTTGGTTCGCCTTACTAACCCCCATCAGGGCTTGGGTGCAGGTCAGGAATGAGATATCTCTCTGCTTATTCTATGAATATTCGGTGAGGTCACTGCCCAGGTGCCTAACTCGTTGCTTTATTTGTCATATGAGGATGCGAGACTGGGTTTACACCCTTGGCACCGCACAGGCTGATATTTCACACATGTTAATGGTCTTACACAGTAATTAATTCCCGTTTGGCATGCCCGTGCTCACCTGACAATACCATGATCGACGTTGCTGCGTCGTAGATCCTACCAGGTTATCACCTCCCCGCAAACCCGATGCGGTCAGTGGGGTATGACTACATTTTGCCCATGTGCACTTTACATTATTCCTCGTAAATCTACTCCGTAGCTTGGGTGCTTTGATGAAGATACTCCTTCGAAGCTAAAAATAGTAGCCGATTCTGCTGAATCCTTCATATGATAATCTTGAACCCTATCGTGGCCTTTCAGTCTTCTCCTCATTCGGACAAGGGTATTGGCAAATGCCTGTCATATGCTAGCCTGTCGCGTAGTTCCCGGTACTTTAACAGTGCAATAGGCTCTGCCAAGTACCTATACGCAGCTTTTGATTTTCCACGCCTTACCCGCCGGATTGTTTCTGGGAAGTGCGTAGCAAATGCAGTAGCGAAGCTCTCTTATCGTGACTATATTTCAAATTTTGAGAACTGCCATACATTTGCCAATCCCTCCTATTTAACTAGATAAAGCGGCTAGTCAAACAATACGAAACAGCGAAGAAAAGCCTGGAGGCTAGGACGAGGCTTTCATGTAGTCGGTCATTTTGTCGGGCCACCAGGAAGTATATATGTGCTAGATGATGTGGTTCAAGACCTAAAAAAAAGTATAAAGAAATATTTCTAAGTCTGCGCTTTCGTGGTCGTGTGCTTTTCCAGGTATAAGCTCGCTATACGCTCACTATATGCGCTGGCATCCTCTTTCAGCTAAGCGCTTCTCTCGCCATTCATTGGATATGCCGCGGCCAAAACCAAAGAGAGAATGCTAGAGGCTTGTATCCCATGTGCGGCGCTTATGTGAAGAGTTGGCACCTGCTGTAGATTGAGATATATATTGTGACTGCAATAACTGTCCTTTTCACGTCATTTCAAGGCCTCATATCTACTGATCCCACAAATCAGAGTAAGCACAGCAGAGAAATATTGTTTCTATGCACATTTCTCAAAGCTCACAGCATTATATTCACAATTCTTGTGTTCAATATGTCGTCGACAGTTTCAATCTATGCCTCTATCAGCAACAGCGATGGCGTTTACAAACACTGGGGTGTTTTCATCGATGCACCCCGCGAAGAAGACAAAGTGTTGCTCCAAGTGACAGGATCAGACGGTCGGTTCCGCTATGAGCTGGAAATAAGAGATGTTCGACAATCGGAAAACCTGGTGGAGTTGCTTCACCTATATGATGTTGACGTCGCCAAAATCAACTCTATCAAGACTGTCGCTAGTCAAGTCACCGTTCACAATGAGATTCGGGGCTGGAATTGCCAGGACTACGTGCTTGATCTTCTGGAAGCATTAGAAAAAGAAGAGATAGTGAACAGCAAAGATGCGAGTTACAAGAGGCAGAAAAATTTGCTTCATGGGAAGCAGGAAGGACTGGCATAGGACATTCTCCTTCGCTCTCTTGTGGCTGGCGACTCTTTGCTTTTTGGCGATGTCAAGACTGAAAATGTCATGGTGAAACAAGATCCTAGTATTAATGACCGCTGTATTGTTACTAGAATCATTGACTAGGAGGAAAGTAGCAATTGAGTGACCGAGTCGCAGTCCTCATTCTGTTTTAATTTAACAGTTTGTAAGTCAAGAGGAAATAAACCCAAACGCCAGCCGATGTATCGCAAATCGAGAAAAATAAAAAGCCGCCCAGCGCCAAACCCGTGAAACAGTAAAGAGACTTCGGCCATTCAGTCATGCTTCTGGTCTTCGGGCCCATCAGCCAGCATCTGGAAGCCCTTGACTAGCCCCATTGCAGAACCAGCGGCGATACCACCAACCAGTACCATCTGTATACCTCCAATGAGACCCTTGCGGACATTTCGACGACCGCGCCAGCCACTGACAAAGCATGTTTTTACATATCCGAAGATAAACAGCGCAATGACCATGGTAGCGATAGACCAGCGCAGGGCAATGAAGGCTTCATTGGGTCCGACGAAAAAGTATGGTATGAGAGGAATAAATCCACCGATAAAGTATCCCAGGGCAATTGTAAAGGCACAAACGATAGCTCGCGAGCCTGAGGGTTCGGGTAGAGTGTGGTGGAAGTTCATGAGGAAGGATGGAAGCATAGGAGAGTCGGAGAGATGGTTTTTGAGTTGTGCGACGAGTTCAGAAGGCAACTCATAGGGCTCGAAAATGTCGGAGATGGTATCTGACACAGAGGCGGGATCTGTCATGGTCTGCGTCTTTGTTTCTTTCAATGTAGCTTTGTATGACTCCCTATAAACATGTCAGCTGTCAAATCCCCGGAATCTCTCCTAGCGCATTTCCATAAGAGATAGGTTTCAGGATCTAGGTAGGCTTACTCTTCGCTTTTCGCACCCAGATACCCACCGAGTCCCATCGATATAGCTCCTGCGATGAGCTCTGCGAGTCCACCAAAAACAACAATTTTGGTGTCGCCCAGTGCAGACAGTCCAGCAGTTAGGGCGAACGGCACCGTCATGCCGTCGGAAAGACCGATGATGGCATCGGACACGGTGCGACCGTCGACGAAGCGGGAAGGTTTTCGCTCCGAGTCATCGCGGTTTATGTTCTTCCCTGCCTCGACATCCGGTCGAAGTTGAGAGTGGTCCTTCTCATCTGAAGGACTGCGATCGGAGAGGGCCATATAACTTGACATGAGGCCGGTTAGGGAACTGATTGACATGGTGAGGTCGAAGGTATTGAGGAAATTGAAAGCACCCCTTGAAAGGAAAGGGAATGTTTAAGTGAAAGCGAGGGATGCGAGACTAGCCACTTAGATCACACGCTGCAATCATGAGCGTTTTCCCATGCCCTACAACCTTGTTGACAAAGAAGTGATCTCCCATTTACAACCTATCGAATGAACCAGGAAGACAACGTGCTTGGCATTCCCCTCATGAACAGGGCACGTGCAACGCTGATTCGAGGACCATCTTTAGTGTGGAACCTTGTGGATCTTTTTTGAGGGACCCCCGGTGCTTGACT